CACAGGCAGTTGGATCTGTCCTTTATCCCTCCTCGTGTCCAATATCTGCTTTACTTCGAAGTGCTGCTCCCCGCCGATCATGATGGGTGCCGGGATCACCTCGGCCTTGTGCCAGCTGTTGCCCGGTTGGTGCGGCTTCAATAAGCTGCAGTGAAATACCAGGTGGATTTTTCTGAGAGCTTTGGGGAGTGAGCCTGAGAGTCACCGGGTTGATTATTTCCGCGATGGGAAATGGCCCCACGAACCTTGGGCTAAGCTTCTTCGAAGCCTGGTGCGTTTTCAAGTTCTTGGTCGATAGATACACCTGGTCCCCCACTTTCCACTGCCACTCAGGGAGCCTCTTGCGGTCGGCGTGCTTTTTATAGTCCGCTTTGCCTTCTTGCAGCACCGCATGTGCTGTCTGCCTCGTGGCATCTATCTGGGCGAACCAAGAGTCCGGGATGCCGGTTGAGGCAATTCCGGCACGGGTACAAAGTCTCGCCCGGTTGCCACCTTGAACAGGGAGAAGCCGGTGCTTTTGTGGACGGCATTGTTGTAGGCTACTTCCGTGAACGGCAGTAGCTCCGCCCAGTCATCCTGCTGGTGCCCCACGTAGCACCACAGGTACTGCTCTAGCCCCCCGTTAAGGCGTTCCGTGGCTCCGTCCGTCTGCGGGTGCGCCGCGGAGGAGAGGGCTTGCTGCGTTCCCATCTGTCTCAGGAACTCCCGCCAGAATCGCGCAAAGAAGTTCCCACTTCGATCACTGACGATCCGTCGGGGCGCGCCGTGCAGCCGGTAGATGTGTTGCACGAACAGCTGCGCCAGCCTCTCTGCCGTGGGGACTTGCCGGCAAGCCACAAAGTGTGCTTGCTTAGAGAACAAGTTGGTGACCACCCAAATGGCTGTTTTGCCCTTGCTATCCGGTAGCTCCACGATGAAATCCATAGCGATCTTCTGCCATGGGCCATCGGGGTTCGCCACTGGCTGGAGTAGTCCCCGGGGCTTGCCCTTGCTCCCTTTAGCCGTTGCGCAAACCAGGTAGCCCCCCGTGTATGCTTCCATGTCCTTCCAGAGTGTTGGCCACCAGAACTGCCGCCGGATCAAGTGAAGCGTCTTCATGAAGCCATAGTGCCCCACGCTCCGGCTGTCGTGGGCTCTTTCCATTACCCCCCGCCGGCATTCTTCGGGCACATATACTTTCCCCTTGCGCCACCACAAGTCTCCCTGGCTTGTTAGCACGTCCCGGTTCTCTCTGAGCCAGATGTCTCGCTCCGCCGCTTCCGAAAAACCCCGCTTTAGCTCAGGCTCCGCGTCCCTTATCTCTTTCTTGGTTTGACTCCGGATAACAGCTTTCGCAACCAGCCTGCCGGCGGGGACAATGGAGTCCACGATCTCCTCTCGCAGGCTGGCGTGCTGGGGCATGCGGGATAGCCCATCTGCCAGGAAGTTCCTCTTCCCGGGAATATGTTTGAGGGTAAAGTCAAACCTCCCAAAGTACTGGGACCAGCGTGCCTGTTTTGGAGATAGCCTCCATGGGGTTTTTAGGGCTTCGAGGTTCTTTTGGTCCATCCACACCTCAAACAGCTGGGCTGCTCCCTCCAGCAAATGCCTCCAGGGGGCTAGGGCCCATTTGACCGCGTACGCCTCTTTCTCTCACACCATCCACCTTCTTTCCGTTTTGGTGAATTTGCGGGAGGTGTAGGCGCATGGGTGGAGGGGCCCCTCTGGGCCGGGCTGCAACAGGACCGCTCCCATTGCCACGTCCGATGCATCCACTTGGATGACGAATTGCTGGTCCGGGTCGGAGTGGCACAGGATCGGCTCCACCGTGAACCGTCGTTTCAAGTCCCCAAATGCCTCCTGGCATTCCGCAGTCCATGTGAGTGGCATGCTAGGTTTGGGGGGGGGGGTTCCGCTGCTGCGTGTCATTAGGAGTTCCATTAATGGGAGAGCGACTTGGGCGAAGTTAGGGATGAACAGCCTGTAGAAGTTTGCAAACCCCAAGAAGCTTTGGAGCTGCCTCCGGGTCCGCGGAGCTTCCCAGCCCAGGACATCCCTGTCAGGCCTAGCCCAAGGAACTCCAGGAGACCATGTAGATTCAGTTCAGCAATGTTTA